AACCACCTGATGCGCTACAGATTATATTTGAACGATTTGGAAAGGAATGGGTTTTAACAAAGACAGCGAGCGCAGACAACCAGGCTATCTATCTAAAAGTACACAAGTGGTTCTGATCTCTCGGTGGGGAGCTGCACTGGTGTATTTAAACTGTTTAAAACTGACACAAAATGTCTTCAAACCAGAATCGTTAAAAAAACGTTAATATTTGAAATGAAACGAGTTCACTAAAAATATCCCCAATTTGAAGGAAAGAAATACACTCTTGCGTACCTAGAATTTAGCAGGCGACAAAATATCGCTTATACGCGTTGTTTGAACTGTTGCGATCATCTTCTACAATCAATTTGTGTCAGAAGTAAATTGTATGTTACACGGTATCAAATCTCATGTAAATAATGCGTCTTTACAAAGAGGCAGGAAACGAGTGTACTTAAAGCATTCCAGACGAGTGAAGTCCCACCACCTCTCGGCCACCGCCCCGCGCATGTGATACAGACGTCAGTGACCGCTCTCGGGACACTATCAACAGCCTTCCTCAAGGGAAATTAAGACATAGAAGAGGAACGATGTAAACAGCTTTTGACCAAACGCGGATTGAAAACGGACATTTCACAGAAGAGTTACTTCATTGTATTTTTCTATATATTACTTTCAAGTTCTATTAATGTGTTCCATCTTCTTGCCCATCAAACCAGTTAACGTAATTAGTTTACTATTATTTCTTTATTGCACCATGCTGTTGTAATCATGTTTGAATGTTTATCAATAGTTACGTTGGTGGACTTAAAAATAAAGAAAAAGTTATAATATTTGACAAATTTGTCAGACTGGCAACGAATTCCATCACTGTGCCAAAATGTTTAAATTTCCCAGTGTACTTTAATGAAATTTTACAATAAACGATAAAGATTTCACCAATAACTTTTTACGAGAATGATTATTACATAAACACGATGTATATATTGACAGCACGACTCCATTTCGAAGTGCTCCAAAATCATTAACGGCTATACGCTCCACACTTGAACAGGGATTAGTATTAAACATGAAAAGAAAATACGAATGCTCAAGAAACGACCTTACTCTTTACCATCACTGCCATCCTGAATGGCATTGTAATATATAACTTATTTCATATCAGAATTAAAACAATTAAAACAAAAACGAGGTCATGAAATTTTACAATTATCTGATCAGTTGACAATTAATAATGAATTCATCAAAACCGTTGCATCTGATCATCGTCAACAATGTCGTGAAACATTGAAGGAGATTCTATCGTAACTGGTTGATAAATTGAAAGACAATTAATTATATCAGGGAAATACCGACTAGACTAGAAAACCACAATTAAACATGTATCTTGTCCGTGTTGTTTGGCTCTTAATGACAATAATTGTCAGTCAACAAAATTGTAAACTGATATATTACATTCACGACAGTTGTTGTAGCCGAGTTTAGGGTCAAAAATATTTAATCTTAAACATTTTTTAAAGAATTGTCGCGGAATATTCTTTAGCGGAGTAGCTACTCTTGATTTTTCTTTTATTCTTGAAATAAACATCACGATTGATTGAAGGATAGCTATGCAGTATATAAATCTCCGACAACAGAGGGTTTTGTCCTCAATATATACGTGTCCTCTACAGAGGATATACCAAAAACATTTGAGTTTCGAAGATTTTTATTTACTCAGAAGGATAACAGAAATCGTAAACAAAATTTTGAGTGCAAGGGTAAAAAATCCTTGAGAGCAGGTTCATTTTCAACTATTTTTAATATGTGTCAATACTACGGTGGACCATTCTATGATAAACTAAAAGAAAGTGGTGGGGGGGGGGGGGTAAAATTACATATTTCAGTTTTTTTGCTAGGCCTCCGGGGTTACACTTGTGAAAGTGGTGAAGACAGCTGCCCATACAATTTGTATTAATTATATATTCTTCAAAACCTAAACTGTCACTGTGAAGTGTGAATCATTATTCGTGTTTAAGTGGAATAAAAACACGAGTCGTAACCTAAGTAGGACACGTGGTCATCAAAACATCTTTTAATTTCCTATTTAGAAATGTCAAATTCTAAGGTGAATCAAACCAACAGACCAATTTTTTGCCTTCAAATATATTCGACATGTTCGTTTATCACAGACCAATAGTACAGACAGCGAAGTACGAGTGTAAATGAACGTGTATTCTGGAAAGATAGTCCAGTTATGTGGCATAATCGGTTTAACATGGGGTTTTTGTTTCTGTCGTGCTGTAAAAGTTACCAGGAGGACTGGCCTATCAGGCACGTTAAGACATGAAACTGACCCAAGGTCAGCGTAAAAAATACAAAAACATATCGTAATCCTTTCACTTTATAAAAAAAATTCCACTGAATCACGTATTATAACTACATATAGCACTAGACATTATTTCCCTAAAAGAATACCCTCGAACCATGTGCAATATTATAATCTAGTTACGTGCATAACCAAACAACGATTATATATGAATTTGGTTAGCGTAAATATCACATTAAAACTTATCATTAAGATATGCTAGGGCTGTTCGTTAACTTGGTTTTGTGAACTTGGCATAGACCATGTTTGGGGAAGAGTTTAATACAAATTTTAATACACATCTTAAAAGTTATATATTCACGCAAAGATGGGCCCGACGTTCTCGGCATTTAATATATTTTTTTCTCAAGACAACATGAAAGTGACGTTATCGTAATACTTCCTATTTGATAATTACTCGTTTTTATTAATTACAATCATACAGGTATTTTATGACATCGTCCCAGCGATGTGCAGGGTGCCTACTGTTGATTTGGTGTTGTTTACACCGACTCTATATAAGTACAAACTACGTATGTAGCTCTGATCACGTACAAAGGAGTGGCTTACTAGTAGACTATTCACAAGTATTTACAAATATGTGAAGTAGGCTACTAAATTGTACAAGATGATGACCAAAACAAGCCTATTTACCAGACATTTCAGTAAACGAGGCCTAAATACCCATACATAGGACACAACACACCGAAATACTCTGTATTAATTAATTACCTCGATAGTTTACTATTCAAACCTAGGACATGGGTCATCGCTCGCGTTACATACCGTTAGGTTGTTCTGACGGTACTAAACACTACCATGTCGCTGACCGTGTTACGTATGGCCTGAGGTATCTAATCTTATGCTGTGTAAAATATACTAATTCTACTCTTTGTCGTTTTAAGGGCAAGATTCAGTCGGCTCGATAATTACTAACTAAACTGGGTTGTGAAGTTCATAAAAATCAGGATATTTGTAAAATTGCATTATACTTAAATTCAAAATCCCAGCACTTTTTTCATGTTCTAACATCATATGTATATATATATATTTTTTCAAATTAATAAAGTTACACAATTATGAAATGTCTTTTCGAATTTGTAATTCAACAACAGTAAAATAACTATATAACAAGCGAGTAATGTATCGTATTTATTTACAATTATTGGTCTGTAGCTTCATTCACGTGACACCAGTAAAAACCAAAATATGATAAACTCCGGAACCAACCGGTGTCAATTTACTTTAGACGTATAAAAATAAACAAGGTTAGATTCAGTTATATATCGGTCTAGTAGAGCTACTAGACAACACACGACCACCTGTCCTCCTGTTTGGGAGGAATAGCCCGCCTCAAACCTAAAGTATCCAATTTCCAAATTCGCTTACAAAAGAACGCGGTCAAGATAACTGCCGACTGCTTTCTATAGATACCCGTATCGTAAAACTCGGACCCTGACTACAAGTTAACGATTGGACGAAGTAACTTGGTTTACAGACGAGACGTAGGGTCATCACGGACGACTGTCAAAGACTTAAGGAGTTTCGTTAAAGTGGATGGAATTTTTCATAGATTTTGGGCGAAAATTCCTGGGTTTTTATGAAAAAAGGGTTGATGGATTTCCTATACGATAAATTCAGAAAATATTTATGAAAATTCTCAGCTAAAGGTAGGAATTATCCGCGAATTCTTGGTATTTTGAAATCTTTCGTTTACAAGAACTAAAATGTACTCTACACTTTCACGTCACATTCTCTGGTAATACAATAACGTATTATCTAAACGCTACGACATGGGTCTCGATTATTCAAACAACAGACGAGTAAATAATGACACAAGTCACGTATTATTTAATTATGCTGTTGGGCCATTTTATCAATAATAGCTATTGTTATATCGGAAATGTTCATATTAAAATCACATGTTAAATATCCTCGTTTAAACGACATCATACGTTCTGAATGACACAAACTATGCGTTTCACGTCATTAATTCTGGATTTCCTGAAATTTAATACAAGTTTCCTCTGTTCGGAAATTCGTTAATTATAAGAAAAACATCAACGGAAGTATCGTAGGATGACTGGAATCATAGCTTTCTTTGAACGATTTGTATGTCAAGATCTTAGATATCGAGTGTACCCACTACCCACACATTTGCGTACCATCACAGTGTGACGGTAGGTTACGAATTACTTCCTATTTATAAGCGTGTGTAAAGGGGTTTATGACGAACTATACACAGCTTCCCACGCTGTTTTCTATATATACAATAACAAAACCGTTCTGGGTAGCGCCTACGTATCCGAAAGTAAACAAAGGTCGAATTTATGACAGTGTGATTTTTACTTATTTACTCGACTAATGAATGTCACTGGGTAGGACAGACCTATATACACACAGGCGGATTAGAATATAATAATGTATATGTTGAGGTCAATAGGTACACACCTTAACTGAATGGTCAGTTAATTAGGGAAGGTCAAAACATCTAAACTGTATGGACACTAGTGAAATAGTTGATTTCTATACGACAAAGCTTGCACATTGACAGGTAGCCAGTATCACATCGCGTTAGATAGAGTGTGGGAAAATATCCAGGCCAGCCGATCACAGGGGTACGTTCAGGGGTCCCGCGACACAGTAAAATGATTTTTATGAATGGGTTGCTTACCGTTACTACGAGGTTACGGGGGTCAGTCCCGTGTCCGGCGCTGGAATCTTTGCTCGCCTTGGACTGCTTTGAGACTTTCTTAGCCCTGCTCTCCAGCCATCGTTGATGTAATAGAACAGTGTCTTGGCGTTGTTGTTCGTACAAACCGTTTATTGTGTTTTCGAATCTCCTCAATGACCCGTTTTGATGGCGGCGATAAAATTCGTATCTCCTTCGCAGACGATCAAAAACTTCCCGCCTTTTAGGGGATGACAAATCCCCCATGCTATCCACCGCCTGCACTGTGAGGTTTTTATGAGACGATGCTGGTCCCGTGGAGATATATGTTATAGAATCCCCCGGCCGATCACTACATAGGGTAAAACCAGAAACACATAGTACTGCTCCACATCAACAGTGACCCTGTCAAACCTGACCCGGACTCCACATTGACAGTGCCTCCAACTCGACTGTCACTACCCCACACACTATATCTGCACCATTGTCTCTGTTCCTCAAGTTTAGTATTTGATAATCAGCTGACAGCGTCACTCGATTTGCTAAGTCTAGTACACACACTTCGGTATGGCCGTCCTACCACCGAGAGTCGGCCACTCTGCCTATCGCTACAGCTAGCATACAACGGCACGCTTTCCAATTTTCGGGCCAATCCATTCATCGATACGGGGGTTTCAGGAAGTAGAAGAAGGCAGTCGGCAATAAACTACCGTCTGCCGGGTCATAGTATGAAACGGAATACACCTCATGCGAGGCGAAAGGTGAACTGCACCACTGTGTATTGACGCTGACTTTAGTAGAAGATTTAGTTAGATTTTACCGACATTAAGAGACTGATTCGGACAGTGTTTACACCGTATCTGTCATTGCTACGCAGAAGAGCTTGTCCGGTGTGTTACTATATCGGTATGTCGCTTTACCTGTACAGTCGGAGTACACACGATGAAGACACTGACACCGAGTCCTTGCCTCGCTTCAATGATTTTTACTGCACTCGACAATTTACTGTAAATGTTCGAATAGAGATTGAATGAGGGCCTATTGTTACCAGCTCGAACGTCATGGGATAGCGGACCACTAGACAGGAAACAGCAACACACGTATATAGCTGTGGTCGTGCTAGCGTCATTTTAGGCCAGTCAGTGTTACAAGTCTAGCTCCGACCCAGTATATCATATCATACACACATATATCTATCTACACGGTATCTGATACACACAGATTTACTTTGTCGAATCAAAGTGTTTTTTAACGGATGTATTTATAAGTTACAGATTCTTTTTTTTATTTTCGCTACAAAAAAGAGAGAAAAGACATTATCAATCTCTTAACCTTCTAAATAAATTAAATATATAATGGAATTTTAAACAAAAATATTTTCTACCAAATTATTTTTTTCATATATTTTAATATTATATTTTTACGCACTGAGAAGCCAACGTGAACTTATAGGCAAGGACCAGGGTAACATTATCGCTGACCAAAATCAACGTCTCCGGACACGCCGATAACAGTGTTTAATCGTTAATATTGCTATTGACACGTCGTAACAAAAGCCGTGGCATTGTACATGTGTTTGTATGTAAGGTGTATCAATCCCTGTTAAAGTCGTAGGTGGCTTCTGTAATACTGCATGGCTGGTGTGCACACATAATGCTAAATGTTACACGAGTCCCGTTCAACACGAGTCTGTGTTGTTACAAGATGTAACCCAGATCTCCGGCGGACTCGACATTCTGCCTTTGATAGCCGCAAAGCAAAGCAGTGATCAGAGCTATCACATTGCAGGATTAAATATGAAAAGGACGTCAACATTTATACCAAGTTACCTCCCTTCAAATGACTTCATTTCTTGTCCTCAAACCTGACTAAAAAATCCAGTTATCTAATAAAAACTTTACCCGATATTTTACTCCTACTCGGAAGATTTTGACCAAAATTAAAATAACTTATTGTGATATATTTCATATACTTATATTGAAGACCGTGGTCGTGTCTTTGAGAAAGACACATTGCCCAACTGCTCTGGCTATGCGATGGGCCTCCCGCATCATGTTAAGTGAAATAACTACTTGTTACTACAAGAACGATCTGCCTTAAAATGACCATAGGTGTTCAAGGGACAACGATTTGTGAAGACTTTGTTTTCAAGTATCTTTAGTATATATATTCAGTTTCCATTTAGCACAACCAACAAAAATCACGACAACATTTCAGTGACTAGTCAGCTTCTCTAGTCAAAAGAACGAGATGACAACTAAAGCAACATGCTGATATAGCTATATATGGATAGGAGATCGCATTATAGCTGTAAAGTTTACAGATACATAAACAAGAAGAATCCCTTGGGTCCTATTGGAGTCTGCTTCCATTTCATTGGCATTTTATATTTCCTGATCTGCAGGAGACATTCTTGAACCATCACTGGGTTAATCAGGGCAAAATGTTTTGAATACAAAGTCTATTTTGTAAAGAATGCCCACGATTGAGATAAAACGTTTTACACAGTGCCGAGAGCCATAGTGTTCCAGGTATTGAATGTTGTGATTTTCTAGAATTTGTAATGACGTGTCATTTTCTAAAATATCACCAGCGATGTTTACGGCAATGCTATGTGCAGATCATTATCTCCCATTGTGACCAACTTGTTTATGGAACAAGAAGCTATACAGTCTGTGTCTCCATGAAGTACAAGCCTCCTAAGAGTGAACGATAATTGTTGAAAGAAAATTGAACTGCAGATAGCATTGCTGAAAACATCCAGTTGGTGATATCGTAGAAAATGATACGTCAGCACAGATTCTAGAAAGAGTTTTCAGCAAACAATAAGCACCACTGTTCTCACAATATGAATTCACAAGCACAAAACAAAAACAATTACAATACGCCCTTCATTTATACCATTACAACAAAACAATTTTATGGGTCTTCAAATCCTACTATCCACAGCGCCAAAGGCAGGTGTAATATACACGTAATTAAGTGATATCACAACCAGCCGCGCCATAGGATAACCATTGGAAATTATTGCTCTTCAACCTTCAACGAAAACGCCAAAAGGAAGTCATGCAAAACACCCTAGCAGATATACAATGTATATTGCAGCTTCACGCCACCAAACGTGTATATTCCGGTGTGTAAATCGCAGAATTTAGAAAACGCACACAACACCAGCCATCTAACCTCAAGATCTGACATAATGATAGGTGACTCACCTATACACATCAGTAGTTTGACATGTGATATCAGCTATACTTATTTTGGGGGCTAAACGATTTCACCACCGTTTTGAGTTCTGTGTAGTCTCATTAGTTCCCACTCTCGTATCGACTTAGAGTTCTGAAGTTGACGATTTTGATGGATTTCTCTTTTACTATATTTAGCAAGTAACATCTGTGTAGACTTCAACAGTCTGTGGCAGGCTGATGTCTCATTTCTTCGACATCTACAAAGATGCCATAGAACTGTGACGTCAGCCTGCCACAGACTCCTAAAGACTACACAGATGTCATAGAAATGTGACATCAGCGTGCCATAGACTCCTAAAGACTACACAGGTGTCATAGAAATGTGACATCAGCCTTCGACAGACTCCTGAAGACTACACAGATGTTAGAGAAATGTGATATCAGCGTGCCACAGACGCCTGAAGACTACACAGATGTTAGAGAAATGTGACATCAGCGTGCCACAGATTCCTAAAGACTACATAGATGTCAGAGAAATGTGACATTAGCCTTCGACAGACTCCTGAAGACTACACTGATGTCAGAGAAATGTGACATCAGCCTTGTCTTCAGGAGTCTGTGACAGGCTAATGTCACATTTCTCTGACATCTGTGTAGTCTTCAGGAGTCTGTGGCAGGCTGATGTCATATTACTCTGACATCTGTGTAGTCTTCAGGAGTCTGTGGCAGGCTGATGTCACATTTCTCTGACATCTGTGTAGTCTTCAAGAGTCTGTGAAAAACTGATGTCCCACATTCTATTTCTAATTTCAGTTATACAAAATTCTATACAGATACAACGAAAGGAATATCTAAATTACTTTATGAATATAGGTACTTTATCATCTTCGCGCATTCTTCTTTTTCTGTAGACGTCATGCTTTTGATTATATAATATGTCGTGTAAATGGTTTGAACTGCGGGTAATTAGTGTCACTGTGAAAACAGACATCCTCTGAGAAGGGGACGAAATGGAGAGAAAATCAAATGGGAAATCTATGATGTATTGTGCTAGTGCCTCCTATTTACAGACTTATTTCAAATTTTTCTTTGATTGCAATGCTCAGTCCTTGTAAATGGAAAAGAATCAAATTGAGATATAAAATAACAAAATACACACAACAGGTTTGCTGAATTGATATTTGCTTATCGATTTCTATTTCTTCTCCATACTGCATTTGTGTTATGGACCTTAGTCTGGTGTTCAACTCCGTGATTTAAATTTTGTTTAAAAGAAAAAAAGACAGAAGAAATCCTGTAAAATGAAGTGAAATGAAGGCGGTACTTGGAGGAGAAAAAAAACATATTGTCGATGGAAACTTTCTAATATCTGAAATGACATAAATTAAACCCCCTTGAAAAGAAGAAGAACCAGGAATGAGAAATTGAAATAAAGACATCAGATGGAGGACACAACCAACCTCAAATCACAATGCTAAAATGGAGTAGAAACTTGGAAGCGACATTTTGTTTTTCAGGATCTATCGAAAAGCTTATTAGAACAGATAGTGAAGAACCTGTGAATTTTATCACCAGAACAAGTGTATTCTAAGCCATGTACTTCGATCAAATTGGATTTTTCTCAGTCGTCTTCTAGGCTTCAAAATTTAAGCCCTTGACATCATTGATGAGTCACAGGAGGATGAAACTGCCGTATACGAAGTTTATTAATTTGACGGTACTCTACCTAGATACATGACTTTAAATTCTCTCGTGTGTCGTTTGTACAGTACCCTAATGAACTTTCCTTTTCTTGATCGTAACATTTATGCTCTGTCATATTACAATCACAAATGAGTCTCGGGTCTCGACCAGAAGTTTCTACACAGAATCAATTGACAATTTTAATTCAAGCCAATTTGTCCTACTAAAAGGCACGTCCAAATAGAAGAACATGTACTTGGCCTTTAGGTTTCTATGGACGAAAGAGCTGTATGATGAAGTTTGTTTCATTACCTGACTATAATCTATCAAAGTCTGAATGAATTTGTTTTAACATGTGATATTCACTTGTGTCAGTCTTTTGTGCAACATTTCATACATTCACGACTTTGACCCGTCTTGCAGAATTTGAAGTCAGGCAGTTTCTCTTTTGTTGAATATGTTAAGACAATATTCCATACAGAGGATGGAAAACGGTACAAACAAATGGACTTGGATGATGGCTTGAACGGGCACAGTGTCATATTTATGATAGGTGGTTAAATAACAGTAGTTATTAGACAAGAGTGCAATTAGACTGTCAGGAGCGAGACAGTATCTATTTAATCACAAAATCATTCCAAGACAATATTACAACTGGTTGACGGTTCAAAGAGAGA